GGTTTTGTATTGTTGTTCATGTCTTATTCCTCTTTTCCCTCCTTGAGTTTGGCTATTGGGATGTGTTGGTTGTGTTTAGAACAAGTTGGAACCTTATTTTTCAAAAACTTTGTTGCCTAGAATTTTGCTTCTATATTTGAGCGTTACTTTTTGCGCTTGAGTGATCTTTGTAAACTCTCAGTACTTTTGCAGGTTTGCAAAACTACTGGGAGAATGTATTCTACGCTCAGGCAGGGCTTCCTATGCTTGAGCAGTCTTGGCTCGAGCGGCCTTTCTTGCGCTCGAGCATTGGCCTTCTGTCTGCAAAACTACTGGGAGTGTGTATTCTGTGCTCGAGCGAGATTTCTTGCGCTCGAGCTGAACAACTTATTGTGTTTAGGAGCTCGAGTGTCACTTCTTGCGCTCGAGCGGACTGTGCGTATATCAGTTCGTAAAAGTCACTTTTTACATCACTTTTTCATCTCTCCCTCCCCCTCTCTCTCTCTCTCTTAAACATTTCAAAACCCTAAATCTGGAGCTTCTCTCTCTAAAACTTACTCTCTCTCTACAAATACACCAAGATCTACCCATTTCTCCACCCTACTCCCTTTGTTAAAAAGGTAGAGCTCACCTAGAGCTTCATGTTCATCCAAGTAGAGTTGGGTTTCTACTTCATCCGAGTTTTATCCTTGTTTATCTCATCTTCTAACTTTGCGGAAGGGATTCTCTACACTTTTTTATGATTTTTAACTTAGTTATTTGTTTTTATAAAACAATCTTGTGATTTTGGAGGATGTTGAACAAACCTAAGGTTGTGGTTTAAAATCAAAATAGAAGTTTTCAAATGGTTGTATTGAAAATGGTTGTGGGAGTGCGAATGAGGTATAGTTGTGACTAACTCGTTGATTTTGATACTTGGAGTAAGATTTGGGGAAAAAAAAAGGAGGGGTTTTTGACCTAAATGTCTTAAATATAAATGAAATTGATGTTGGAAATGTGAAATGGGATGGTTATTGCCATGGATGGTGGAGTTGGATATGTATTATCGCTCCCATCTTAAAGTTTGGAAAGTTTATTTGTATTGGAGATTTTATATCTATTTACAAATATTTGTTTTGGGTTATCGGTAGAAGATAGTTATGATTGTTGTAGAAATTGTATGAGGATTAGGTGAATTGAAACTAATTTCTCATTCATGTGCATTGAACATTGTTGCTCAGTTAATACATTGTAAATGTATATGATTTTAAGGAAAAATAGGTGAATATTGGAAAGAGGTGTGTATCACCAAATTAAGTTGGCCTGTGTGTCTAGGGTAAACGTCTCGAAAAATGCGCATATATATGGGTGTCGGCTCCCGCGTACGAAATATTCGTAAAATGCAACAGTAGTGCTTGTATAGGCTACGTTTACATAGGTGTCGTTTAACGATTTTTTGCGTATGAAATATCTGTGAAAGGTTGCATTGGTTGAGAATCCCCTTGGTTTTCTGTTGTAAAAGACATAAATTGAGAGTTGTGATATAACCTAAGCATAGCATAGCCTTTGAAAAGGGAATGTAAAACATTTTGACATGAGCATTGCATATGCATTTTACCCTTATAGTTTTGTTAAGATTCATATATTATGTTGGATTATTTCTACTGGGATTTGGTTCACCTTATATGGGAAAAACATTTTCAGAAGTTGGTGAGATCTTGGAAGGACTGGAGCAAGAGCTTCATTTTTTGTGTTTTTGTATATAATTTGGTACAAGCCTAGGGCTTTATTTGTATTAAGCTTAAGACTCATTTTTCATATACCCAAACATTGACTTGGAAAGATATAAGTCATTAGGGCATATGATTATCTATTTAGCTTTCATTTCTATTCACTACCTCGTAATACATGTTGTAGATTCATGATATACTATTTGTGAATGTATATCGCATATGTCACCTTTTGTATATTGAACTCTGATTGATGAAAGCTTCTCAATCTAATTATTCTGCTATTTATTGGTTGTTATGAGATGGATAAATCATAATTATTTCAAGGCATTACAACTTGGTATTAGAGCGTACCGGGTTTGAATATTTTGGGTATGTGGGGAAGTGGTTATTATTATAATGGGTTTGTCTCGCTTGATAGAGACATTTGTATGTATGGTATACCATGTGATAATACGCTGATGTGATTATATGGGTATGAAATTTAATTTCTAGGATATTGATTGGGTCTACGGGTTTGTAGAAGTCCAATTAGAAAAACATCTGATCACTACTGTTTCTAATTGGAACTCTGGCAACGCCGTGGGATGGTCATTATCCAGGAAGGAAATTCGAATGTGTTTATGTGACTATGTGCTTGTGTGGAGTGAATTACCATTGTCCACCGCATTAGGATGCGAGTGAGTTAGCTTTGGCACATTTGTAAATATGCTAATCTTTTTTGTTACCTTTATTATGATGTCAGGATGTGGACGTGATGGTGGTAGGTGTGGTAGATCAAGAAGGCATGAGGTGCCTTTACTAGATGAGATTCCGGTGCAAGAAAAAGGGGTTGGTCAGGCTAATGTGATCGAACCAGTTGATCAGCAAGCCATGGCGCCTTAGCTCGCAAGATGGCCGGAGCACTGCGGGAATCCATGGACATTCTCAGAGCTAAGAATCAAGTCCAAGCCTATGTTGCTGAGACAGGGTCATCCTTTTTGAAGAGGGAGTTCTTCCGGTCTAATCTGAACGAGTTTGTGGGTGATCCTAGGGAGTCACTGAAGGCGGATGAGTGGTTGGAGCAGATAGTGAAGACGTTAGAGATGCTTGGCATCTAGGATGACAGACTAAGAGTGACATTGGCATTCTTCTAGCTGAAGGGAGATGCGGGTCAATGGTGGAAGTATGTGAGTGGGCGCATTGGAGTGACTTGGGAGGCTTTTGTCAATGCCTTCGAGGACAAGTTCTTACCTCCCACTACTAGGAAGAAGTTGAGAGACTAGTTTCTGAAGACTAGTTTCTGAAGTTCAAGAAGCTTAGTTTGCCAGTAACTGAGTTTGAGGTAACTTTCACACGCCTCTCTAGATTTGCATCAAAACTCGTGGTGACAGAGGAACGCCGTTGTATCAAGTTCAAGAAGAGACTGAGGACTGGGCTTCTTTTCAAAGTAGCTAGGTCGATGATTAGAGATTACGGGCGACTTGTAGAGTTGGTAGCTCATCTTGAGATCGTGATATAGATGGATAAGGAGCGGATGAGGGGCTTCAGTAGGAGTCAGGATGTTCATGGGGATAATGAGAGGCAAATGGGTTCTATCTCCACAACAGTTTCGGAGAGCACAGATAATGCCAATTTTTCCAGTGCCGAGTTCGAGTCCTGGTAAAGGTGGTAAGGGAGATGTTACTTGTTTCAAGGCCCGCAAAGGGGGGGAAGGCAACGGTCTGGTTCTTCTGCAGCTCGTTCTTAGGGCCAGAGTCAATGGAGAAGGCAACCGCTCACTTGTTATCAGTGTGGGCAGGCAGGGCACTTAAAGAAGTTTTGCCCTTAGTTGGGTGGTACGCCGAGTGTGTTTGGTTTGAGACAGACACAGAGTCACCAGCCTGCATAATCGGTTTAGGCCTCGTGGGCCAATTAGGGAGCCTCTTCAGCTCAGACAGTGCATCAGGCTTATGCTCCGAGGGGTGAGCAAGTGGAGCAGAGAGAGACCTTCAGGGCGTGTGTATGCTATTACCACGCCAGACTTAGTGCCAGCACCTTCAGTTGTGAAAGGTACCTTTTTGTTATGCAATTCTATTGCCAATGTGTTGATTGATATCGGTGCATCCCATTCATTTATCTCGTATGCATTTGTATTGGCATTCGGGTTAGAGTTGGCTCGGTTAGCATCTCCACTCAATGTAGAGTCACCTATTAATGATGAGATTGTTTTGGAACAAGGGTGTCAGGGTTGTGACATAGAGGTCACCAGTCGTCGACTTCTCTTTGCATTTGTGTTGATTGACATGTCTAGTTTTGATGGTATTTTGGGTATGGGCTGGTTGTTATCAGGCTATTATAGATTGTTACCGTCAAAGGGTTATTGTATGTACCTTGAGTGGTGATTGTTTTTTTTTCATAGGAGACAGAGTCGATAGAGTCTTATTACCAGTGTATGATCCTCATAGACGAAGTGAGCGTAGTTGTCTTCTTGCCAACTTCTTGGGTAGTGAGTGTGATGAAGTCAGAGTTGATTTACCAAGGGTAGTTTGTGAATCCCCTTATGTTTTTCCTGAGGATCTCACTAGTTTACCACCTCACCGTGAGATTTAGTTCTCAATTGATTTAGTGCTTGGTAGTGCTATACACGTGTCACATTTGTGGTGGTTTGCGTGGTTGTAAAGTAAAGATATTTTCAAAATGAGTGACATATTGCAAAGGTAGGAAAATGATTATGCTTCTGAATTATTTTGAATGTAGAATCTTTGTCCTTACTCACAGGCCAATTTTGCTATTTATTTGATACCAGAAAATATTTGATGGTATAGAGGAATATGTTTTTGCAATGGGATAGCTATTGTGGTGACGTTGTTTTCTAGTACCTTGTTTTGTCCCTTATTTTATGTCTTTCTTTTTTGTTAATTGTATTGGTATACAATGTTGTACTTTTTAAAAGAGTATCCCGAGAATTATGAGTAGTTCACTCAAATGTGTGTAGATTGTTTTTTGATGTGCTAAATAGGACTATGGGAAAAGAGTCGGTGGTCAGCTCCGACGAAGTTTGTTCGTGGGTACGAAGAGTAGAGGGAAAAAATATCAAAGCTAAGGTGTTTAAACAGATGGGTTAACAAATGTATTAGATCTAGTAGAAGTGTTTGTGTAAAAGATTTGGAGTTTTTTTATAAAAAATGGAAGGAGTAGTAAGCAGCCAGTATTGGACCCCCCTTGCGTACCGGAGGTCAAAGGCACCGGCGGCCAGTGGATATAAGCGTAATTATCGTGGTCGTGCACCTTTTACGGCCCAGTATGTTTACAAGCGGTACGTTCAGAATATTCCCCGATATATTAAGAAGACTACAAGAGGAGTAAGAAAGTTGCAACTGTACGATGAACAATTAAAGGACGTTAAATTTGATAATAAAGGTGTGGTGAGATTGCTAAATGGTATTGAGTTGGGTAATAAAAGATGTAACCGCCAATCAGACAAGATCGTGGTTAAGGGTATAAAATTAATTGGGAATGTTCAATTGGAATAAGAGGCTATAGAGGAAGTTGTGGTCTACCACATTTTGTTTTTCGTCATAAGTGATAATAGCCCATCAGATTCCGTCCCCACACTTGACAAGATATTTATTGGAGTTGGTGAGGGTAATCTTAAGACCTAGATTGTTAATCCTGACCAGTCCAACAGGTTTCGGATGCTAAAGACAATGAGATTCAAGCTTATGGGTGGTGAGGACAAATAGTATAGTTGTCATGGAATAGAGTTTATGGACCGGTTCTTCACAGTTGATGTTTGGACGGACTAGAAAGATACGCTATTGGAAAATGTTGGAAGTATTCAAAAGGGTGTCATATATTTAGTGGCTGCTACTATTAGTGGAAAAGAATGCAAAATTACGTTAAGGAGTCAAATGTACTTTAAAAATGTGTAGAATTATAATTTTATGTATTTTTATTTGTAATATTCAGGTGAATAGAGGTGGACGATATAAAAACTGGTTTTGTTGAAGGTGTTTCACAAAGTGATTTCAGTTGTAGGCAAAGCAAGTTCAATACAACTGAAATCACTTGCTGAAACACCTTCAACAATACCAATTTTATATCGTCCACATCCATTCACCTGAACATTACAAATAAAAATACATAAAATTATAATTCTAAATAGTTTTAAAGTACATTTGACTCCTTAACGTAATTTTGTATTCTTTTCCACTAACAGTAGCAACCACTAAATATATGGCACTCTTCTAAATACTTTCAACATTTCCCAATAACGTATCTTTGTAGTCCAAACATCAACTGGGAAGAACCAATCCACAACCTCTATTCCGTGACGAACATACTCTTTGCCCTTGTCACCAACGAGCTTGAATCTCATTTTCTTTAGCATCCAAAACCTGTTGGACTGGTCAGGATCAACAATCCAGGTCTCAAGATTACCCTCACCAACTCCAATAAATATCTTGTCAGGTGTGGGGACAGAATCTGACGGACTATTATCACTTATGACAAAAAATAAAACGTGGTGGACTACAGCTTCCTCTTTAGCCTCTTGTCCCAATTGAACATTCCCAATTGATTTTATACCATTAACCACGATCTTGTCTGATTAATGGTCACATCTTTTATTATCCAACTCAATACCATTAAGCAATCTCACTACACATTTATTATCAAATTTAACGTCCCTTAATTGTTCATCGTACAGTTGCAACTTCCTTACTCCCCTCTTAGTCTTCTTAATATATTAGGAAATATTCTGAATGTACCGCTTGTGAACATATTGGGCCCCAAAAGGTGCACGACCACGATAACTACGCTTATATACACTAGCCGCCGGTGTCCTTGACCTCCGGTACACAAGGGGGGTCCGATACTGGCTGCTTACTACTCATTCCATTTTTTATAAAAAACTCCAAATCTTTTATACGAACACTTCTACAGGATCTGTTACCTCTGTTAACCCTTATGTTCAGACACCTTAGCTTCGATATTTTTGCCTTCTGTCTCGACAGAATTAATGAAAAATCTGGTTGGATGCCAGAGAGACTTCCACGTATTCATTAAATTTCAATCAGATCAAACCATTAGAGGAGGAATTCCTTGTATTATATTAACTAATGGGGATAGTAATTGGTTAGATGCAATGTCCCAAAAAATGAGAGACGACACTGATTTCTATGGCACCATATAGATTTGCACCCGCCGAGTTGAGTGAGTTGAAGATTCAACTCCAAGAACTGCTAGATAAGGGTTTTATTTGCTCTAGTACTTTACCTTAGGGAGTACCGGCTCTTTTTGCCAAAAAGAAAGATGGTGCGTTGCGAGTTTGTATTGATTACCGGAAGTTGAACTAGGTAACTATTAAGAACAAGTACCTAATGCCTCACATAGATAATCTGTTTGATCAGTTGAAAGGGTCCTGTTACTTTTCTAAGATAAACCTGAGATCGGGTTATTACTAGTTGAGAGTAAGGGGGGAGGATATCCTGAAGATGGCATTCCGTACGCGGTATGGCCATTATGAGTTCCTAATGATGTCTTTTGGGTTAACCAATGCACCAGCCATATTTATGGATTTGATGAATCAGATCTTTCGTGAATTCCTAAACCGTTTTGTAATGATCTTTGTTGATGATATTCTAATTTACTCACCATCTGAGGAGGAACACGAAGAACATTTACAAGTAGTATTTGAGTTACTTAGAGCTCACAAACTTTATGCTAAGTTTGGGAAGTGTGAATTTTGGTTGGGAGAAGTAAAGTTCCTAAGCCATGTGGTATCCAGGAGAGGGGTGACTGTAGATTCGTCCAAAATAGGAGCAGTACAAGATTGGGAACAACCTAAGAATGCGTTTGAGATCCGTAGTTTCTTGGGGTTGGCTGGGTATTATCGTTGGTTTGTGAAGGATTTCTCTAGGCTAGCCTCCCCATTAACTAGACTGACGAGGAAAAGGATCAAATTTGTGTGGAGTGAGACTTGTGAGAAATCATTTCAAGAGCTTAAGGTTAGACTTACCACTGCTCCAGTATTAATCGTTTTGGAGAGGGGTTTGGGCTATTCAATATATTGTGATGCTTCTCGGGAAGGTTTGGGTTGCGTATTAATGCAAGAAAGGAAAGTACTAGCTTATGGCTTATGGCAGTTGAAAACACATGAGAGGAACTGGCCTACTCATGACCTAGAGTTAGCAGCTGTGATCTTTGCCTTGAAGATTTGGAGGCATTATTTGTATGGAGAGAAGTTTGACGTGTTTTCTGATCACAAGAGTCTGATCTATCTATTTACACAGAAAGACTTGAATCTGAGGCAGATGAGGTGGATGGAGTTTATAGAAGATTATAACTTTGAGTTGCATCATCATCCGGGGAAGGCCAATGTTGTGGTCGATGCCTTAAGTAAAAAATCCATTGGCAGTGTGGCTAGTATTGCCATTCGGGAATAGGAGATGTTGGGTGCTATTGGTGAGTTTGACTTGCATCTTGGCGAGTCCGTTAAGTCTACAACCTTGTTTTCAGTAGTTGCACAACCGACACTTGTGAACTGAATGATAAAAGTGCAAATGGGTGATCTTGAGATAGAAACCCTTTGCGAGAAGATCTCTAATGGGAAGGTAGAGAAAGGCTTGAATGTGTATCCCGATTCAAGTGTTAGATATCGTGACCGTCTTTTCGTGCCAGAGTCTTGCCGAGAGGAAGTACTTCAAGCGTTTCACCATTCACGCCTTACGGTGCATCTGGGAGGCACAAAGATGTATCACGACCTTAGTCGCCAGTTTTGGTGGAGGGGAATGAAGAAGGATGTGACCGTGTTTGTATCGAGGTGCCTTACTTGTCAATAAGTGAAGGCCGAACATTAGAGACTAGTGGATTTGTTGTAACCCTTGTCTATAGTCGAGTGGAAATGGAAGCATGTCACGATGGAATTTATTGTGGGCCTTCCAAGGACTCAACGAGGTAGTGATGTGATTTGGGTGGTAGTTGACCAATTAACCAAGTCGGCGCACTTTATACCTATGAGCGCGAATGACTCGGTAGATTTTTTAACCGATCTTTTTATTAGGAACATAGTGAGGTTGCATGGGGCCCTTGTAACGATTGTTTTGGATAGAGATCCGCGTTTTACGGCTCGTTTGTGACAGAGCCTACAAAATGCCTTGGGCGCAAGATTAACTTTTTGCACCTCGTATCATCCTCAAATTGACGGGCAGTCAGAGTGCATCATTCAGATTCTAGAGGATATACTTCGGGGTTGTGTTCTTGACTTTAAGGGGTCATGGGAGAGGCACTTGCCCTTAGTGGAGTTTGCGTATAATAACAGCTTCCAGTCGAGTATTGTCATGGCACCGTTTGAGGCTTTGTAAGGCTGACTGTGTAGATCTCCTGTGTGTTAGGCCGAGGTGGGAGATGCACCTATGTTGGGTTCAAAGTTAGTCCGAGAAATGACTGAGAAAGTCACTCTTATTTGTAAGAGGTTGGTTACTACCTAGAGTCGCCAGAAAAGTTATGCCGACTGTAGGAGGAGACCTTTAGCGTTTGAGGTAGGTGATCATGTCTTTCTGAAGATATCACCTAGACGAGGCCTGATAAGGTTTGGGAAGAGTGGGAAGTTATCCCCTCGGTTTATTGGTCCTTTTGAGATCCTTGAGAGGATAGGTGAGGTTGCTTATCGGTTAGCCTTACCGCCGCAGTTGTCCGGAGTGCATGACGTGTTTCATGTGAGTATGCTTCGGAAGTAGGGTTTGATGAGGTTTGGGAAGAGTAGGAAGTTGTCTCCTAGATTTATTGGACCTTTTGAGATCCTAGAGTGGATTGAAGAGATAGCTTATCGTTTGGTCTTGCCACCACAGCTTTCCAGAGTTTATGATGTGTTTCATATTTGTATGCTTCAGAAGTATAAGTCAGATCTGTCGCACTGGTTGGATTAGACTGACTTAGAGGTAGATAAGGATGCCTCGTATGAGGAGAGACCGGTAAGAGTCTTAGATACTCAACACCAAGTCTTGCGATGCAAGACAATTCCCTTGGTTAAGGTATTGTGGCGACGTCACGGAGTTGAGGAAGCAACTTGGGAATGTGAGTCGGAAGTCTGTGAGAAGTATACAGACCTATTTGTTAATGTTTGACCATGTATTGAAACTTTTGTTATGTTGACTTAATATAAACATTGTATATGTTTTGGAAATGTGAATTGTATATTCAGTATTGAGAATTTGTTCATCATGTTGATGAGAATAAATGACCGGTAGATAGGTCATGGTATTGGGATTGATAGATTATCATTGCTGTAATTGGTTTAATCATGGTTTTAAAGTTTGATTTATAATTGGGGACAAAATTCTTTAAGGAGGGAGATTATAGCGATTTTGGTTTAGACCCGACTCATTCGATATTCTGGACTCGGGTTTCATAGTTTTGCATTGTTATTCATGTCTTATTCCTCTTTTCCCTCCTTGAATTTGGCTATTGGGATGTGTTGGTTGTGTTTGGAATAGGTTAGTACATTGTTTTTTAAAAACCTTATTGCCCAGAATTTTGCTTCTACGCTCGAGTGCCACTTCTTGCGCTTAAGCGTTCTTTGTAAACTCTCAGTACTTTTACAGGTCTACAAAACTACTGGGAAAATGTATTCTATGCTCAAACAGTGCTTCCTGCACTTGAGCGGTCTTGGCTTGAGCGGCCCTTCTTGCGCTCTAGCATTGGTCTTCTGTCTACAATACTGCTAGGGGTGTGTATTCTGCGCTCGAGCAAGACTTCTTGCGCTCGAGCGAAACAACTTATTGTGTCTGGGCGCTCGACTGGACTGTGCATATATCAGTTCGTAAAATTCACTTTTTACATCACTTTTTCATCTCTCTCTCTCTCTAAAACATTTGAAAACCCCAAATCTAGAGCTTCTCTCTCTCTCTCTCTCTACAAATACACCAAGATCTACCCATTTCTCCCCCCTACTCCCTTTGTTAAAAAGGTAGAGCTCACCTAGAGTTTCATTTTCATCCAAGTAGAATTGGGTTTCGGCTTCATCCGAGTTTCATCGGTGTTTATCTCATCTTCTAGCTTTGAGGTGGAGATTTTCTACACTCTTTTATAATTTTTAACTTAGATATTTGTTTTTATAAAACAATCTTGTGATTTTGAAGGATTTTGAACAAGGTTTTGGTTTAAAATCAAAATAGGGGTTTTCAAATGGTTGTATTAAAAATGGTTGTGGGAGTGGGAATGAGGTAGAGTTGTGACTAACTCATCGATTTTGATACTTGGACTAAGATTTGGAAAAAAAAAAAGGGAAGGGGGGTTTGACCTAAATATCTCAAATATTTATTTTGTACAAATAAATGAAATTAATGTTGGAAATTTGAAGTGGAATGGTTATTGTCATGGATGGTGGAGTTGGATATGTATTATCGCTCCCATCTTAAATTTTGGAAAGTTTATCTGTATTGGAGATTTTATATCTGTTTTGGGCTATCGGGTGAGGATAACTATAATTGTTGTAGAAATTGAATGAGGATTAGGTGAATTGAAACTAAATTCTCATTCGTGTGCATTGAACATTGTTGCTCCGTTAATACATTGCAAATGTATATGATTTTGAGGGAAAATGGGTGAATATTGGAAAAAGATGTATATCACCAAATTAAGTTGGTCTGTGTGTCTAGGGTAAACGTACCGAAAAATGCATGTATCAATGGGTGCCGATTCCCGCGTGCGAAATATCCGTAAAATGGCAACAGTAATGCTTGTATATACTACGTTTACATAGGTGCCGTTTAACGATATCCCGTAGATGAAATATCTGTGAAAGTTTGCATTGGTTGAGAATCCCCCTGGTTTTCTGTTGTAAAAGACATAAATTGAGAGTTGTGCTATAACTTGAGCATGACATAGTCTTTGAAAAGGGAATGTAAAACATTTTGACATGAGTATTGCATATGCATTTCATCTTCATATCTTTGTTAAGATTTATATATTATGTTTGGATTATTTTTACTAGACTTTGGCTCGCCCTATATGGGAAAAACATTTTCAATTGTTGGTGAGATGTCTTCACCAAGCAGTAGCTTGGGAGGACTGGAGCAAGAACTTCATTTTTGTCTTTTTGTATTTAATTTGGTATAAGCATAGGGCTTTATTTGTATTGAGCTTAAAACTCGCTTTTGATGTACCCAAGCATTGACTTAGAAAGATTTAAGTCATTAGGGTATATGATTATCTATTTAGCTTTCATTTCTATTCACTATCTCGTAACACATGCTATAGATTTAGGATGTACTGTTTGTGAATGTATATCGCATGTGTCACTTTTTGTATATTAAATTTTGATTAATGAAAGCTTCTCAATCTAATTATTCTGCTATTTATTGGTTGTTATGAGATGGGTATATCATAATTATTTCAAGGCATTACAATAAATTTATCAGTCTTACTCATTTTTTATATATAAGTGGGTGAAAGTGTTTCTTTGAATGAATAAGAAAGGAATGGTGTATGTATGTAAGTGTGAGTGTGATACTAAAAAAGAGTAAGTGATGAAATAGTTTGATAAATATTGATACAGTGATACATTTATCACTATTAAATACTTCTACTTCTTTTCCATTTTTCTTGTTACCACCAAATTTGAACAGGTATAGAAGAGTGACGTGGCAGAGATGGATGTTGATTTTTCTTAAAAAAGGACAGAAAATTTGTCAAAATTACTACCAAAAAAATATTGTCTAGGTGGTTGCCGGTGGTTGGAGACAATGGTCGGAGGTGGTCGCCGAGCCAGAGTTGGTCTCCAGCGGGAGAAGGTGCAATTATGGCAGTGTGAATAATGAGGATGAAAAAGGTTAGGAGACGGTATTCTAGAGATATTGATAAGTGAAAAATAAGTCTAGTCAACATGACCGGCCTGTAAGTGCCTATAAATTTTACATATGAATGCTATTTCTCATCATAAATACCCTTCTTGAGTTTTTTTAAAACAAATATTAATTCTCTCCATTGTGATTCTTGAAATTATATTTCACTCTTTTAAATTTTTAATCTCATAGCAAATGACTATTTTTATTAATAAATTATTAAGTCAATTAACAGTTTTTAATGATATCATAAATATATTTTAATTAATAATTCTGGTAATTTTATTATTGCATAACAGAGTAGTTAGGAATTTTATTTTTTTTGTTAATTTTGTTAAATAAAAAATTATGAGAATGTGGTATTTTTAATTTCCAGCATCACAAGAGATAATTCATATTTTAAGCAAATCTCAGGAAGTGTATATGTAATTTACCATTAAGTTTTTTAACACAATTTTGTGTGTGTGTGTGTGTGTAAGTTTTAGAGCTATTTATTTTTGTTTTTAGTAAATTATTTTAAAATATTTAAGTATTTTTTTCTTTGAAAATCCATTTAATCTAAATATGTTTAAAAATTAAAATTTGAGGAAAAAAATCTTATAAAAAATCACTAAATACAAAAAATGTAAAAATTCAATATATTTTTATATATTTTTTATTTACTGATTTATTTTTATATTTTCACAAATATTTAATTTTGGGGACATTACAAAAAAAAAAAAACAAAAACAAAAACTAAAACAAAAAAACTAAGGTTTGATCCTTGTAGCAAAATAAATCATAAATTTTATCATTTTATCATTTTGAACCCTAATATTTTGATTTGTTTTTAATCTAAATCATCTATCTATTTTTTTTTTAAGCAATACTAACCAAAAAAAAGAAAATTTTAGTTATTATGCTCAACGAAAAAGTGTGTTTTAAACATGTTTGTTTTTTTAGGTAAGTAAGTTTTAAACATGTTATGTAAACATACATTGAATTTAATGACTAAATACTATTTTTTTCGTCAATTTATTTAAAGAAAATATGTCAATTATGTAGATTGAAAATAAATAAAAAGATTAAGATTTAAATTGACAAAGTTTAAAACTGAAGATTTATTTTGTTATAAGAGTCAAACTTTAAAGCTCTTTTTATAAAATAAAAAAAAATGTAAAAAGTACTTTAAAAATAATTTTTTTTTTAGGTAATGCACCTGTAAGAGATAACAGCGGTGGTGCACACCCAAAACTATAGAATTTCCTAAGAAAGAAACCTTATGTAGTGTTTGATTTTTTTATTGAATGAGTTTTAAATAAAATGGTAATTCCATTTAAATATTCATCAATGAGGAGCATGATCATTCGATTGAGAGATCGAGAAATAGTCATTTTATTTCCGTTCAAATCATTCCAGTGAACAAAATTAAATACTCTCTTTGCTCTTGCCTTTATTTATTTATTTATATAATATCCTATATTTGTTTGTTTGATTTCATCAATGAAATTCCTTTCTTTACAGAGTAAAAAAAAAAAATTAAAATAAAAAAAACTATCTCAAAAAACATACATTGCATTTTGAGCTTGGCAAAAAGCTTAAATTCCTCTCACACTTTTACACCACCAAATGGCTGATGGGTTCATCATTCATTTTCTTTTCACACTATGTCACAGCGTCCTAAACAATGCTAACCTTCTCAAAAGGAAACAACAAAGTACATCAATTTTTACACATAATTATTTATGAGGGAATAAATAAGCAAGTCCTTCAATTACAAATGTAGTGACATTTTAAAATAAAATTACAGAAGTTGTACCAAATATCATCAAGAAACCGGAAATAAGCAATTCTCCAATGCATCTTGAATAGTAAAGGACCCATCACAACCCAAAAACCAATAACAAATCCAAGTGCTGATATCGCATAGAACCACACTTCTGGAAATCCCTCTCCTTCTTCATTACCTCCATGTCCAACTTTAGGTATTGCCTTGTTTGTGTCGCAGTTTGGGAGTGGAGGTCCACAAAGTTTGTTGCCGACAAAGCTGGAATTCTCTAAGCTTTGAAGCTGAGTACTTAATGGAATTTGTCCTATCAAATTGTTATATGACAAATTCAAGTGACTCAAGAAGGTCAAACTTGACATGCTCAAAGGAATTTCACCACAAAGTTGGTTTAGAGAGAAATCTAGGGATTCAAGTTGTTCCATGTCACCAATATTCTTTGGGATCTCTCCGGTAAAATGATTCCCAGACAGATTCAAAAAATGCAATCCTACAAGTGTAGTTAGTTCCTTGGGGATCTCTCCAGATAAATTGTTTTCTGAAAGATCCATGCTTGTAACAAATTTAAGGGTGGTGCTATATTCAACCTCTCTTCCTTTGGTCACAAGGAATGCTTTTTCTTGAGCTTCTGATGTAAGATTCAATGCATGATATGAAAAGAGATTACTTGAATTTTGTTTTTCAGTCATGGCTGTGAAATTGTTGAAACATTTTGGCACAACTGTTGAGAGATTATTATGTGCAAGGTCCAAGATTTGAAGAGAACTTAGACGACATAGTTCATATGGAATGCCACCTTGAAACTTATTTGAACGAAGGTTAAGAACTACTAATTTAGTAAATGAATTCCCCATCCAAGGAGGTATGCTTCCAATAAATTCATTTCCACCAAGATCAATGAGCACCAAGTTTATACAATGCTGTAGAGATTGCGGTAGTTTTCCTGAAAGGTTGTTATGCCGCAAGTGCAATGATTCGAGGGAAGCTAAATGTCCAATAGACAGTGGAATGGTACCCATCAATTTGTTATTTTCTAATTTTAAGACTTGCAAATATTGCCAATGCTGCCAACAATTAGGAATTCTTCCGGACAAATAATTGTTTCCAAGATTAAGAACAAACAACCAGTTTTGTTTCCTCATTCTACCACATAAGGCATGGTAAACAGATCCTGAAAAAGAATTATTTGAAAAATCTAACCATTGCACATTAGAGGAGATGAATGGTAACATACCCTTGAAGTTATTGAAGCTCAGGTCAAGTGCATAACCACTAATGAGAACCTCAAATTTTCTTGGAAACTCCCCACGAATTTGGTTACGAGAGAGATTTAATAGCGAAAGGTTGGAAATTTTGGGCCAAAACCATTGCGGAATGGAATCAGAAATTCCTGTGCTGGCTATGTCCAATGTGTGTAATTGTCCTTGGTATTGAAGCCAAGCTGGAAATTGCGGCCCTAATTGCCAAGAGGCCAACATCAAAGCTCTAACTTGAAAAGTGGGGATCCAACCAGAATGCACTTTCAAAGTTAAATTGTTCCCACTACCATCTAGGCAACTTAATCTTTTGAGATTGCCAAAGTGAATCTCAGAGACAACACCCTTCATCAAATTATGAGATACATCTAAGCTTTCTAATTTTGCAAGTTGCCCAAGACTTTCAGGAAGAGTTCCATTCAAATGATTATAGGAAAGATCTAAAGTTTCTAACTTTGCAAGTTGCCCAAGACTTTCAGGAAGAACTCCAGTCAAATGATTATAGGAAAGAGATAACCTTGTCAAGGATGATAATCCTTTGATCGACTCCGGAATGGGACCAAAAATGGAGTTGTTTTGAAGAGAAAGGTAGGTTAGATTTTTGAATTGGTGAAGCTCATTTGGAAATTGACCATCAAGACAATTGTTATCTAATGCCATTGACTCCAATCCATCTAACATGCAATGGGAGAAACCTCTAAAAACTTCAGCTACCTCTCCACCAAATTTGTTATTTGATAAACCAATACTCTTCAACTTGCATAGTTTTCCCAATGAGCTTGATATTTTTCCCTCAAGTTGGTTGTGTGACATGTCAAGGCTAATGAGGGAAGTCAAGTTTCCTATGGCTCCTGAGATTACACCTTGCAAGAGATTGTCCGCGAGATTGACCGACTCGAGACGGCTAAGCCTAGACAATAACCCATTCGTCCACGTAGTGAAAAGATTATCTCCCAAATCTAGATCTCTAAGACAAGTCATGTTTAGAAGGCCAATTGGAATTGGTCCCTGAAACTTATTGAAGCCTAAGTCCAGAACAACAAGGTTTTTGAGGCCAAACAACCCCTTGGGCAATGATGAATTCAGATTATTTTCAACAGCAGAAAACTCTTTGAGAGAAGTCAAGTTTTGAATGCCATTGGGAATTGGGCCATAAAAGTTACAATCAATGATATCTAGGGAAACTAGATGATGCAAACTAAAAATCCACTTAGGTATAGACTCTGCAAAATTGTTATCAGAAAGGTCGAGGATATGTAGTGATGTAAAGTTAATGGTAGTTGAAGGAGAAGAATATTTGAGATCACAACCACCTAACTGCAATTCTACCAAAGAAGGAAGCGTGCTCATCACCTCTACCCAATCCACTGCTTTGCTAAGGTTTACGAATGACAAATCAAGGTGTTGTAATGAAAGAAGACCTGAAACCCAGTGTAAATTATCACCACGTAAGTTTAGTGCAGTTTCAGAAAAGTTACCTTGAAGATAAAAAAAATTGAAGCTCAAGTCCAGATAACGTATCATGGTGAGATTTCCTAGTTGATGAGGAATGGCTCCGCTGAATTCGGCACCAGACAGGTCGAGATACCTCAAACTTCCAATAGAGCCAATGAAGCTAGGAATGCGAATCCCTCCAAAACGATTCCAGCTCAAGTCCAGATAACGCATCATGGTGAGATTTCCTAGTTGATGAGGAATGGCTCCGCTGAATTCGGCATTAGACAGGTCGAGATACCTCAAACTTCCAATAGAGCCAATGAAGCTAGGAATGTGAATCCCTCCAAAACGATTCCTGCTCAAGTCCAGATAACGCATCATGGTGAGATTTCCTAGTTGATGAGGAATGGCTCCGCTGAATCCGGCTTTAGACAGGTTGAGGTACCTCAAACTTCCAATAGAGCCAATGAAAGTAGGAATGTGAATCTCTCCAAAATAATTCTGGCTCAAGTCCAGATAACGGAGATGCTTCAAATCGAGCAAAGAAGGATTTATTTTACCTCCTAACGGGTGATAACTCCAGCAAGTTTCATATTTAGAATAATTTCCATTATAATGACAACCAGCATCACCATCATTATAAGGAAGGTGGATCTCATGGACATGGCCAGTGAAGTTGTCGCAGACAACTCCGGACCATTGACAACAGTTGTCACCAGCCCAAGAGGACAACCGGTTCGAAGGGTCTTTAAGATCTTGCTTGAATTTTAGAAGGGCTTGCTTTTCAGTTTTGGAGCAAACAATGTTGGAGTTTCCATTGCAAAAGCAATTATGAAATGTTGCAAAGGTGAGAAAGCAAAGGTAATAAAAAACAATTGCTGCAATTCTCATGGATGATGAACCCATGATAAACATGTAACACAGCACAATTTGGTATTCGGTGTATTTGTGAGTTTAGTATCTAATGTTATTAGCTCTATATATAGTGCTTTTTACCCTGGTCCAGACCTTGGCTGGTCAATCTGGGGAGATATTTTAAATGACTTTTGTGTAACAATCCAAAGGAAAATGTTACAATCTTTGATCTTGCTCAGTTATATCTCTGTCACAGTATTAGTGTCACTAGCTAAGGAATGAAATTTGAGTTTCGATAAGCACACATCATTTCCTATTACATATTGGGGTGTTGGCAAAACAAATTTTAGCATCTTTTAAGTTAAAATTCACAAAAAATTAAAATAGGCTAAAATAATTAATAAGACAAAATGTCACATCAAATCCATAATCATTTCACTTTTTTTCTCACAAACATCATATCTAATTAAAAAAAATCCAATCATATTTCTAAACACAAAAAATTTTAATCTACTAAAATAACCTACTAAAATAGTAATTTCCAACCACCCACATTATCTAGTTTATTTGGAATGAGAGTGGGGTTTACGCGTGTAGCTTTCATTTTTATTGTGGATAGACGGTAATATATATATACATAGAGAGATTTTTTGAATGGCTGTGTTTGGTTCTATTCTCCAAACATAATTCCACCATTTGTTTTGAGTGTCTTGTTTGTTTAGGGTTTTCAAAAATTAATTTCACATCCACTTTTTAAAACTTTTTCCAAGGCGAGAAAATTTGGGTTAACCGGTCGTCCTCTCGGACGTCTAGCCTGTTGACCGGACCAGTGCCTTTTTTTTTTTTTTTAATACAATTGGCACCTATTATTTTTTATATGTTAAATAAAAAAATTTCGGAATATTTTAATTTTTTTTTATTAGTTTTGAATATAGTTTTGAGTTGTGTGTTTGGTTATGAGTTGTAAATTTTTGTATCAAATATCATATGTCACATCAAAAATTTCTCACTCAATTCAAAACTCATTCACCAAACAAATTTTTCACACTCAAATCATAATTCCAAAACTCACAAATTTAAAATACAACTCTATCCTCAAATCATATTTAGAAAACTCTACCAAACACTAATATAGTTTTTCATGTTTGTATTTTTTGTATTTTTTATTTTTATGAATTTTTTTTTTCATTTTTTCATTTTGAGATGTTCTAAATAAGTGTATTTTTTTTGAATTTTTATAAAAAGATGTGTAGAAAAGTAGAGAGGAAATGTTAATTCATGTGACCCAAAAAAGATAAAAAGATGGACTTATTTAGCTTATGCCAAACCACCCCGCTTAAAAAGTATAATATTTCTTAAAAAATATAAATAAAAAAAAATTAGATAAATACAAAAGAATATAAAAATATATATTCTTTTGTATTTAGGTTATATGCATCTAAAAATAAAAAAAATAAAAAATATTTAATATTGAAAAAAAAGCACTAAAAAAACAAAAATGAAAAAATAAAAAAAATCCAATTTTCAAAGAACTATTCCAAACCAAACTGTTAATGCTGTACTTGATTGGAAAATTTGAAAAGGAAAAAAAAAAGAGTAAGTAAAATATGAATAAAATATACCTGCATTTCACATAGTTTTATATATCTTTTTCTTTTTCTTTTTCTTTTCTAAATTCTTTCTCAAATCCTTTAACCAAATACAGTGTAAAGATTCACCAATGAAAATGTAACAAACTCTAATGCAATTCATGTGATTCTTCCTCTTGAGGTGAAATTCACTTCAATATTAGCTTCCTCTAATGCGTTTCAAAAAATTATTTCAGATCACACCTATCCACTCAACTTTTTTTAAATTATTTTTAATTTAGTGTTTTATCACTACAAAAAATTAAAGTTTTAGAGATAAAAATTTTAGGACAAAATAACTTTTTAGAGATAAAATATTTTTGTCTCTAAAAGTGCTATTATTCTATTTTTAGCAGCAAAATTAGACAATTAGTTATTAATTACCAACCTTTTGAGATCAAAAGTCTTGTCTCAAAAAATAAACATTATTGAAAATTTTAGTTTCATAGAAATCAATATGTAATATGAATAATTTTTTTTTATCGTCACACATTTCATAAAAAATAATTTGGAGAATATTCGAAAAATTTAACTATGTTTATGAAATTTTTGGAATGCTTGTATAGGAATTAATATTTATTAAATTACATATTCTAAATATAGTGATGAAGTTCTAAATTTAGAGTCGTGAAGTTTAACAGAAACTGAATAGTTTTTGGTGATTTCAATTTTGATTCTTTTTTAAAGTTTCACAATTCAGTTCAATCCATAAATTCAGAGGATAATAACAACTAATTTGATTGTTAATTTACCTCAAAATCAAACTAATTTTATCTAACCACCCATATTGTTGCCCTTACTTATGGATGAAACAATGATCATGACCACAACTGTACAATCTATGTCTGGGATTTAGAATTTTAATTTAAAAAATCAAAAAATCAATATTAAGGTCAACTTATTCTTTCTACTTTTTTCCCACACAATTTTTATAAAAAATTTAAAAAAATATTTAAAATGTCAATTCCCAATGGATGAAAATGCATTTTGCATTTGTGGTCCTATGAGATATTTTAAGCGACTTTTTTTGCAACAATCCAAATTGACTTGACTTGGGCTGTGTCAATGCAAGGGGAATAAAAATGAAGACAATTTTCGTGAGTATACATTTAAAAATAAAGAAAATTAATAGAAAGTCTCTTTTAAGGAAATTGTTTAGTCATAAATTTTATATAAATATAAAGGCTAATGACGTAATTTATTAGATTATGTCAATTGATAAAATAACTTAAAGGTAATCTAATTGATTTTATATTGATATCTAATTATATTTCAATTTCAAAATTTAAAAAAAAAATAAAGAATTTTTTTTTCAAATGTATTTATATATATTTTTTGTTCATGAAATACTTCTTTCAAAACTGCTTATATGAGAAATTTTATTTAATTAGTAATGTAGAAAAATTACGTCAACTTTTTTGGCACATACCTTGATCGGCACCTCTAGACAATTTTTAATTTTGCCCTTTAATTCAGAGATGTGATTTGTAATTCCTAATTTTTCTACATAAACAATGTTATATAGTGCTCGTTTGGCATGTGGATTTGGGTGAGATTGGGGCCATTTTAGTCACAAAAAGGTAAAATAGATTTTTTAATTCTAAGTTAGAAGTTGTCACATCTAAATCATAATCATTACATTTTTTTCTCTCACAAAAATCAAAAAAGTCAAAAGTCCATTCCAAACGAGGCTATTTTTAGCCCCAAGCTAAAATAATCAAAAAGTTAAAAAGTCAAAAAATCAATCTACATCCCAAACAAAGCCATAGATAATGTACCAATTTTTTTTTTTAAAAATAAATTCCAAACAAAGTGAAGCATAATTTCAATTTTATTTATAAGAAAAAAAAGATGTAAAAAGGGCCATAACAAAGATAATTAAGGGCTCGATTGGCATCACCTACAAAAGCCAAAAAGCGAAAAAATCACTAAAAAAACAAAAAAGTTTATACTGTTTGGCAAGAAGTCTGTGGGTTCAAATAAAATAAAATAAAATAATAGTGCAGTTCAATGCTGCAGTACAATTCCTCCACATGCAATACATGGCTCAATGTAAGTCACACATTCCCGTAGAAAACATAAATTGAAATGCACGGACAGTCTGTTGCATGTGTTAGTAGGGGCAATTCAGTAATTTTTATTACACATTTTTTCATAAAAAGTTAAAAAGTTATCCCAAACATATATATTTTTTTCCTCTACGTTTTTAGCTAAAAAGTTAAAAAATGTACTTATATAGTTCATCCCAAACAACCGCTAAGACTGAAACATGTGTCAAGATCCCACTGCAATTGCTCAGTCAAAAGTTAAGAAGACAATTATGGTGGGAGGGAGTACACAAAACGTGGTCCAATCTAGACGCATTAGAAAGAAGATAGCCATTTTTTCTAATGTGTATTTCAAGAAGACAATTACGGGAGGGAGTACATGAAGCGTGATTCAAGCGCATTAAGAAGAAGATAGCCATTTCTTCTAAGAGCATCCTCATCAAACTAGCTTTAATCGTTTTTTAGATAACAAACTTCAAAGAATTAAGTCCATCAAACTCGCTTGTACCTCGTCAAAATTTATGATTGCTATAGTAACTCGTTATAACAAACGAGGTATTGTTCATTGCTACTAGTGTGTTACTGGATGTCCGGTCGGACGTCTGGTCGGCCAACCTATCGGTCAACGACATTTTTTTTAATTTTTTTATTAACATTTCTTTCAATTTTACCTTTACAAAGGAATATAAGAATTGTTTGGCTAGCAGCTCATCAATTTAATTAAAAAAAAAATAACAAATATTTTAATAGGGTTGAATTAGAATAGAAAGTTTGATGCAGTAGGGTGATTAGCTAAAATAGAAAAATAACTTTTTAAGTTATAATTTAACCGAAAATTTAAAGACATTGATGTTGATGCTCTAACGTGTATTTCACTTCATGGGAAATTCTATGGTACAGTGTACTATGCACTTTTGGTTATGATTTTTATTTCTTTAGTTATGATTTATTGTTTTGTTAATTATGATATACTGTGATATTATTTATGACATTATTTTAGTAATAATTTAAAAATTATTTGGTTCCACCTCATGTAATATTTAGTTATTACTCAATTTTTTTTTTTAAGCTATAATTCACATAGTATTGATGCCTCATTTGGGGTAAACTTTTTTTGCCTGACTTTTTTACTATTTTAACTGGACTAAAAGAGTTTTTATGAGATAAATTTTTAACTTTTTTTGTAGTTGATTTGATAGTTGTAAGAAAAAAATAAAATGATTATAATTTAAATGCGATATTTTGGCCTTGTTTGGGAAGTTGATTATTTTAGTTAGCTATTCGACTTTTTTATTATTTTAGCCTAACTAAAATAATTATGGTTGGAAAATTGATTTTTTTTAAAAATTGATGTGACAAGTATAAAAGAAAAAAT